AAAAAAAAAAAAAAAAAAATACTGATTGTTGGTTTTAGACGAATTCAATTTGATTGACGGCTGCCCTTCTTTTCAGCTGCACTCTTTATTTATGTATTTTTTTTAAATATTCAAAGAAAAAATATTTACTATGCATGCGAATGTAAGAGAAATGTGTCTAAACGAGACGAGCTTGAGCTCTAGGGTTAAAGGAGCCGAGCATGGCTTGTCGACTAAAAGAGTCAGTAATTGAGTCCGCATATGATATGTTTATAGCATTAACAATTTGAATTCAATTCTTAACTAACTGAGATATTAAAATTAAAAAAAAAAAAAAATCGTTTCGAACCTTTACGATAAAAAATTCTTCAATTTCAGCCCCAAAAGCTTCGCCTCTTCTATCTTCCCCAAAAATTCCACCTCTCTGTCCTTGAAACCCTAATTGGACCGCAGTTTGCCTCCCCGTCTGCTATTTTCTTCCTTCCTAAGAGGTCGCCGATGTCCAAGGGCTGGGTTCAGAGTTGTTCGCGGGCAACCCAGAGTTGTGGTGCTCCCCATCCGCGTGGCTATCCTCCTACTTGCTCTTAGACCATGGCGGAGGCTCGGGGTTCGACGATTAGAGGGGTCTCCTGCGGCAGCGAGCCTCGACCGTCGGCTAGAGGCGGGGGTCGGGTGCTCTGTCCGGCGGCTGGGCTTCCTGGCTTCTGTTCTCGCTCTACTGTTGGGCGAACAGTGGTCGTCGATGGGGTGGTTGTGCTTCAGTCTGGGGCCGCGTTCGTCAGTCCTACTGGAGGTTTTCAGGTGTTGGTCTCTTGTTGTTGGTCCGATGGTGGCCGGTTGGATAGCTTTGGTCTTTCAGTCAGGTTCTAGTTAGCCGGTATGGAAGTTTCTAGTTTCGTGTTTTGGCCGGGGCCTTAATATGCTTGAGCGGTTGCCTTGGATGATGGTGCGCTTGGGGCTTTTGGAGTGCCTTGTTAGTTGTTGAGGAGAGCTTTAGTATAGTTATTAGTCTTTCTTGTATTCTTTTTGTGTGCTTTTTTTTTTTTTT